ACACACACACACACACACACACACGCACACACACATACATGCGCATGCACACACATACACGCACGCACGCACGCACGCACGCACGCACGCGCACACACACGCACATACACACACGCGCGCACGCGCACACACGCACGCCTGGTCGTGTCTTTGAACCGGAAAAAGCTGCAAATGATGCTGCCATGGTAATATATAACAAAGCTAATGGCTGCCATGTTGAATTCATCATCGTAATACGCGGTATGCAAACTGAGATGTCTCTCCAGTTTTATTATCTCTTGCCACAAGAAGCAGCAGTGTCCGCGCATGCGCAACAGTCGTATTCCGCGATTCAAAATGGCGTTGATTAGAAAAGTGTACTCGCCATTTCGCAAATTCGCGAAAAAGGTGAAGATGAAATTTTAAGAAACGTTCGAAAATAAAAACAATAGAAATATACAGCAGACAAAAGTTCCGCGCAACAATATCAAAATTTTTACGGCGGACTTCATTTACGCGATGAAAGGAACGCGTGTTTTGAAGAAAGCGTTTGAAGAGGATTCGTGAGAAGATGTCAACAAAGCATGCATGCGGCTGCGGAGTTACGAGCGCCCGTTAACGTCGGTTCGTCTGCCGTACAGAACATATATGGCAGACGACATAACAGACGACGTCGTAGACGTCCACCACGTCTCTACGCTACTCCATGACTCCACGTATATATATTAATGGACGGTGATATGATTGGTTATACGTAGAGACGGCGGTAGGGGCAGTCTACGGGTTGTCTCTGTAGACGCGCGAAATCGTATAACGCGCATGCGCATTCTGACTTTTTTTTAAATTAATTTTTTTGAAAATAATGAGTGCAATGAATGGTGTAAATGGAATCGGTAACATTTGCATGTGTAGTGTTGGCCAACGGACGGGCCGGCCTGGGGGGGAGCACAATGGCACAATGGTTAATTATCATAATTATAGTCATTTGCATATGTAAAGCAGGTTAACAAATAGGATGTTGTTTCTATCTCACTGTCTGTGCCACAGGCACTTGAAGCATATCAACTGTAAACACACGGCGCCGCCATTGCGCGTACACTAACACATAATACACTAACACATAACACATAACACACACTCTTATATTATGTGTTAGTGTACGCGCAATGGCGGCGCAGTATGTTTACAGTTGATATGCTTCAAGTGCCAGTGGTCTGTGCACGTGCGTGCGTGCGTGCGTGGTCTATGCTGGTTTTCTGTGTGGTGTGTGTGTGTGTGTGTGTGTGTGTGTGTGTGCGTGCGTGCGTGCGTGCGTGCGTGTGTGTGTGTGCGCGCGCGCGCGTGTGTGTGTGTGCGTGTGTGTGTTTGTGTGCGTGCTGGCTGCGTA